CTGGGCTCTCCAGACCTTGGAAGGAGTCATTGTAATGACTAAGTCATTCTCTGACTATCCAAAATCATTTAAAGTCTTGAGCTTCACCTCTAATTTTGGTGCTTAAATTAGTCTGGAAAATGCAGATCCCTACTCCACCAATTGAAACGAGACATCCAAACCTAGCCCCCCAAAAGGATTTCACTGGAGGTCAATAATCTAGGTGTCCTTCCTCTACTGCTGGAGACCAAGTTCTTCAAGATCTCTCTGAAAGGTTGAGGTCTTTAACTCATCATGAAAACGTGTAGCCTGTGATGTCACTAGAAGCTGTGGGAATCCAGGAACAAAATCACGGCACTCAAAATCCTGTTCTCTTTGCATCTGGTATCACACTGCAGATGCTGAAAAGAATTCCTGGAGGGAGGAGACACAAGTGTCTCCTCAAAGCCTTTTCCCTCTAACACTGAACTCCTTCCTGGCTTCAGGTGGTCTCTACTTTTTTGTGTGCAGTTCATCAGATGTCCAAAAACCAAGCAATACACTTCCCATGAGGAAGCAGCTGGAGAGGAGCCCAAGAAAGAATCTGGAGGATAGATGCCCCAAAAAGTTGTGTTCACAGTGTTGCAAGGAGCCTGAGGATAATAACTGTTTTGGAAAAATACTTGAGTGACACCTTTCCTTCTTCCCACTTGGGCATTTTTGTTGGATAGAGGCATTCACTACTGAAGATACACAGCTGGAGGACTCACATCAGAGTTATTGTGAAGATTACACAAAACAATTATAAACTGCTCAGCAGAGTATATGGCACAGAGTGAGTGTAAATAATAAATATCAGTTCCTTTTTCTTCTTCCTCCAAGATTAGAATAGATCCAAGAAAAGGTAGAAATTTCCTGAAAGTTTACTAGTCATCCCAAGGTAAACAGATTCATCCACAAAGTCTCCCTTTGTGCCAGAGTCCTGTGATTTCTTTTTTTTTTTCTTTTTCTACCCCCAGAGACATAGGCAAAAAGGTGATGGCTAAAGTCAAGAACATTTTCCCCTTTGGAAAAAAAGGCATCCATTTATTAGCAAAAGGCAATTCACAGACCTCATTCATCAAATTCCAAAGGGTTTATTCAGGGGTACTGGCAGCCTGGAAAGCCAGTGCTGCGCCTCACCCAGCGCCACAGATACACACTGGGGCACACTTACCATCCACGTCAGTGAGAAGCCAGAGTCCCTGCTTAGAGTTCCCTTTTCAATGTGCTTTTAAATACAATTCCCACCCACCAACTAGGCCTTGGCTTTTTTTTTTTTTTAACTTAACAGAAAGAGCAAATTCTATGAGGTACAAAGAAATAAAGATCTGAAAATGCCTTTTAGGGGAAAAACATAGGAGGCAGGTTTTGTAAGAGTGCAATCTAATAACTTCCTCCTTTCTGTTTCTTTTGCAAAGGGATATTCAAGGGAGAGAAACTTAGATGCCATTGGTTTGTCACGTGTGTGTGTGTGTGTGTGTGTGTGTGTGTGTGTGTATTCAGAGTTCTTGAGTTCAAGATTCTTAGTATTTCCTGGTTGAAGAATTTATCTTCCTACAAAACTAACATATTTAACCAAGTTTCTTCAGACTAGTAGAGACAGGATCGTCTTTAATTGTTGCCCAATTTCTAAGCTGGGTTTATAACCAATATTCCAAACTTGAGTCATAAGCTACTGAGGTAAAACTCTTAAGAGGCAGGTTCATTGTTTTTAACAGGCTATGGGAGAGTCTTTCATAGGGAAAAAAAAAGTGGCTAAGAGGTTGGGGTGGGGACAAAGTTATAGCTCAACTTTGAGTGACATCAACTGTGGCAAGAAATGAGTTCCATCATTCTGCGGGACTGTCAGCTTGCTTCCTAGGCCTGGGTATGCCTGGGAACCAAGGTTCCTCACCTTTATTAGAGTGATAGAAGGGGTATGAGACCAGAGGGCTGAAGAAAGGCAACTACTCAGAAAGGCCATTTCTTATTTGAGTTGCTGAAGCATGCCTCACTCAGATCAGATGGGGAGAAACCTGCTGCCCAGCGGGCTGCTGTGTAGCTGTGGCTGGTTCTGAGGACTGACCTAGTTTCTGTCTCTGGACTTTGTACCTTCTTTTTGTCCCTAAATAGACCAGGGCATCACTCTAGGCTCCTGCATCATAGTGGTAACACACACACACACACACACACACACACACACACACACACACAAAACCTCTTCCAAGGCTGTCTGGCCAGTAACAAACACGCATTCAATTATGAGAGCAGTACTTCATGATCCTGAATCTCTGCCAATCAAAAGAAAGCTGCGCACATACGACTGAACTTTTACAACTCTGCAACTTGGAGGACATGGAATCCAGCTGGAAGTCTTGCTTGTAGCCCCACCCCACCCTCTGGCCACAAGGCAACTGGATTTCCAACTGCCCCCGGGCATCCAGCCAGTCCAGCAGCCCTCTTTGCTAAACTTACTCGGTCCACTTCTCATTATGTTTAATTCTTCTATTCACCCAGACACTTCCCTCCCTCTCTCTCCCCCATCCTAAAGCCCAACAAATGGACCAGTTACATTGCATTATTCTTTTCACTCTTTCTGCTTACTGTTCAGATCTACCGGGAGAAATAACAAAGCTTTTTTCCCTTCTATAGAGTCTTTCAGGAGGTATAGAAAAATAAAGGGTCAACACAAATTACTTGACAATTTTATGATTAAAACCAACAAATGGAAAACAGATAGTTTTGAATACTGTTAACATAATCCAAGTATTGCATGATGCCAACTCACTCAACCACTCCATTCCTCAGATCGATTTCAGATCTATTTCTAGAGGTACCCAACATGTATGAAATTACTTGCACAGGAAAGACATATCCAGTGTTCAACATAGGAGACAGAACTCCACGTAAAAAGGTGCCGGTTCTTGGAAACAAATTTATGATTTTATTAGACACTCAAAACTCAGGTTCCCAAGAACCACTTGGCTCTAAGTACATGTGCAACATGTCATGGCATTAAACATGACGGAGGAAAATGATGTGGATATTTTGTCTTTGGGTAGAAGATGGCGGTTTTCTGAAAAGATACTGAGACACCAAGCAGAGAAATCAAATGGAAGATGTTTAACATTGGCTTCATTCTTAACTTGATAAGAATATGAGGTCCTTTAAAAATGTCATCCATGGAACAGTGAACGAAGTCCCCAGTGGACAAGTTTGAGGTGGGGTTTTGCAGTTGGTTTACAGTTAGGGAAAACTATTTTTATCCCTTGGCTAAAATCCATACAAGGGGAGGGAACGTAAAACCCTAGACAACTTGACTCTCCCCATTTTTTTTTCTGCTCAAAGCAGGATAAAAAGCCTTAGATTTTGGCTGTGTCTCTATTTATGTAACAACCACAGCTGTTCCCCAAAATAGCTGCTGCTGGCTTTAAGAATGAAGGGATTTTTGTTGCTAACATTTGAGTCCATTTTCTATGACACTTGACTGAGTTCTCTTTCCTCTACTTTTGCGGCTCTAGGTCTGAAAACAAATAAGGAATCTCACCATTAGCATCAATGGCGTGTATGGATTTGGAAGCCAAGGCTCTTCTCAGTCAAGAACAAATTTAGTCTCTTATTTTACTTTGTGGCAGGTGGTCCTTTGACCACCCAGAACATCTTAGCTACCCACCTTCACAGCTGTCTACCTTCAGAATGAAGGGGGACAGTGTGGCTGAGACCCAGGCCCTTGAAGTTCACAGTGCTCCTGAGAGGCACACACAGTGCTCCTTCTGTGTTTGTGTGGGCCAAACCCACCCCGGGACCACTGGCTTGGCATTGAACAGGGCACCATCCCTGGGAAAGTAATAAAGAGAACCCTCATCAAAGCTATCAAACACATTAAAAAAATACAAAAGTTATTTTCTCCTTTTGATCGCTATTTACTTGTGACAATATTGGTTAAAAATATTATTTCTGTCTTTAAGAAGAGGTTACTCTCTTCAATATAGTATGGAAAAATAAACTCTACTGAACACACAGTCCACATTCCCCACTGCCCCCAGGGACTTTGGGCTTTCACATCTCCATACATCACCAGTGTAAATGTACTGTGTTTCCAAGCAGGCAAACCCTTTCCACTGTAATACCCAGGGCTGGAAGTTAAGAAGGAAGAGTAGCAACGCTCATGTAGCACTGCAAATGGACAACACAGAATGCTTTAACTCCCATCAGTAACAAACTGAAAAGTAACAAGGTGGGTTTTGTTTTGTGCCCTCCCAAAGAGCCACGGGGTGTCCCCTCCTCTCGAAGGCCCTTCTACACCTGGCTTGATGCTGAATGAAAGAGCGGGGAGCCATGTAGTCCACTGATTAATGCCATTGAGAAGGTTGGGGTGGGGGTTGGGGGGGGGAGGCTCAGCTTCCACACTCAGGATCAGCTTAAAACACTGAGCTGGATGAAGGGGAGAAGACAAGGATACATAAAAACAGTAAAATGTTTATTTCTTAGAAAAAGAGGGAGGGGGAAGAAGAGGATTCAAAATGATTACGATCATACTTCCATCTATCTGAGCAAAGCCAATGTTGTGAGCTTAAACCTTGATTCAGATACCTACTAACTGGACCGACCTGCTGCTCAGGCCTATGTCAGTTCCGGAGTCAGGTGACAACATGCTTTGTACTGTTGACACATCTCTACTTCTTCAGAGCAGAGAAACAAGGCTGGCCATGGCTCCTTTCCCATCTCCACAACCTAACATTGCCATGGGAAGCAAAGCTCAGGCCACCACTTGACTGATCAGAAAAGACAGAGAGGAAAGAGAGGGACCGAGATGCTTGACTGAGAAGCAGAACCAGTTCAGAATAGAAGTTGGGTATCTTGAGTTCACCACTAACTCATCTGATAGAAAATAGGTTGGAGAGCATCTGTATGTGGAAGGTGAAATTGCAGAGTTTTGCTGCATACCTGGACACAAGAGAAGTGAAGAGTTGCAACAAGTTTTAACTAGCAGCAACAAAGAAAGTTTCATGACAGGTGTCTTTTTTTTGTTTTTGTTTTTAGCAATATTCCTTTGCAAGTTCATTAAGAAACACTGTAATTTAATGGGGCATACAATATGGGTCGATCTTCTTTTGCTATAATGCTGTTCGTTGAAGATAACCGACCTTTGCAAAGATTTCAACTGGGGTGTAACCTATTTACACAGTAGTAGCTCCTGGTCTCAGTGGGAGAGTTGGTGCTATGTGATATCCTCTTCTTCCGAACAGTAATCCCGTCCCTTGAAGAAAAAGAGAAAGGGAAGAATATGTGAATAAGAACTTCCAATGAGAGCTTGAAATACTTACAGGTGATTGATTTTCTTTCAGCCTATGTCTCTTTCAGCCTATGTCTCTTTGTAAGCGAATCCAGGCTTTATCAGAAACTACTGGGCACAAAGTTCATGTGTCATAAATAATACTGGCAGAACACGTATCATAAATAATACTGGCAGTTTTTTAAGCTCTGTGTGTGTGTGTGTGTGTGTGTGTGTGTGTGTGTGAGTGTGTGTATTTCATGGTAGAAAACATCTATTAAGCTCTTGCTTTATGATGGGAAAAAACTTTTACCAACTTCGGCATACAGAAGACTCAACCTGTGCCAAGAAATGACCAAATGGACAGTACATTCTGGAGATCAATGTCTCGCCAGGCAGAGTGGGCAAATCACTGCTACTATCCCTACAGCTCTGACCCTTTGCCTGACAGAGAGAGGGTGTGCAATCCAGGAAGGTCTCAGGTTTACTAAACTCTAAAAATACACCGAAGAAGGATTTGGTGTTATACTGGGGACTGTGTCTGGTCACTGTGGATCACTAGGAAGATGTTTTGAAGCACTTCTTAGCAAAGCCATTGGAAGGTTTTAAAGATGGTGGGAAATGGTTCTAAACCCATGAAGACACAGTTGGGACTAGGCTTTAGGCTCTTTAGTCATTATCACTTGTCTTCCTCAAAACACTTAACTTTCTTGGTGTGGAAATCCCAGAGAAAGGGACAAAGGTACCTTCCCATGGCATTACAATGTCAAAGATCAGGACCTTATAAAAGCCAAGTATATTATTATGCCTGCATCCTGCAGGTGTCCATCTTTTCCCTGCCCCCTCCCTCCTTCTTCTCCTTCATTCCTTCCTTCCAGTCTTTGATTAAAAAATCTTTAGTTGTACAAGAAGTTTCCATTCAACAAAGCAGCTTATAAGTGCAATGCATCTTGACCAAGGTCACCCCTTCCATTGTACTCCCCTACCTTTGCCAAGCCCACTTCAAGGTCCCTGACAACTGGAGTTCATTCTTCAGGGTGGGCAACGGGGCATACACAAGTATATCGACAGAATACCGTAACAGCAAGCTACACTCTCTCCACTTATCCTCAATTCACAGAGATCGGGAATAGACTTGCCCAATGGACACTGGATGTTGGGCTGGAGAGGAAAGCCTGGGGTGCGTGGAGTTTTTGAGGCATTTTTATTAGAAAAGTAAGCGAGGCATGGGCACAAAATCAGGCTTTTGGTTTCCTGGGATCACAGTGATCTGCCTCACTGGGTTGTGATCAGATTAAAGGGGAAAAGCCATAGTCTGGCAGGTAGTCGGCAAGTATCAGCTGCTGAGATTACGAATAGGATTGTTCTTGTAACTCTTGTGATCAGCAGTCCTGGGTTTGTTCAGGGGTCTGCCAGGGGGCTAGGGAGCTCCCTCCTTGTAGATTAAGGTGAGGATGGTGTCCAGAACTGTGACCTGACAGGTATCACAGAACATTCCACCTGTTTCAGTCCTGTGGCCAGGCAGAATGAACTCACTCTTGTTCCTAGATGAATTTCTGTGCCTAAAACTCAGGTCCGCCCCCCTCCCCTTTCCTCCTCCTGCTCCTCCTCTTCCTTTCATTTCTCCTCCTCCTCTTCTTTCTTTATGGGGTAGTGGGATTGGAAGCTGAGCAGAGCTTTCCAGGCAAGTGTTCATTCTACCACTTGAGAAATACCCTACTCCTGCTTTCAATTTTTTTCCAGATAGGACCTCTCACATTTACCTAGGTTGCACTTAGACCTTTTATCCTCCTGTGTCCACCTCCATAATAGCTGGGATTACAGGCATGTACTCCACACCAGGCTCCAACTATTTTTAAATTATCTTTAAAATAATCTTTTCCCCCTTATTGGGAACTGAGGATTGAACTCAGGACTTCATGTTTCCTTCCCTTCTTATGTCTCAATGGGGCCTCAACTCTCAATTAAGGCTCAACTAGCCAACATAGCATTGAGAGGACATCTCTGCCATGAAGAAGAACTTGAATGCAATGACAGACAGACAGACAGACATGAGAATCATTGTACTCACTAATAACACAGTGTCAGTGGAGCTGCAGGATTGTGTGGCCAAAGAACTGTTTAGACCTTCTAAGTTTACTGTTACCCCAAGAAGGTTTTCCTACCCCACAAACCCCCTGCATGAGCATAGGACTCCATAGCTTCCTTTCATTTCCCAAGCATTTGTTCCTCTAAAATACTATAATTGCTACAAGGAGGAGGGGAAAATGCATTTGGTTGCTTTGCAGACATCATTTCATTTATTATTCATGTGAACCCTGCAGGCGCTGGGGAGGGGGGTGTAGGAGCGTAGCCTTGTTACCCCTGGGTAAACTCCAGAGCAGCCCAAGCCCACAGTTCGCCCTGGGCTTTTTCCTTCTGACTGTACCGATTTGATAACAAAATTGCAATTCAAGTCAGTCTTACTTTTGTTATCATCACCTGTCAGCAGCAGCTCTGAGAACCAAATATTTTGGCAACAAAGCCTCTGAAATCACAACATACTGAAGCTAAGTGGGGGTGCAGTGCAGCCCTTAGTGACCCCCCCCCTGCAAGGGACAGACGTGGGAGGGGCTCTGTGTCAACATCATCTGGGCCCATTTCAACCCTCCTCCTGATGGGTAGGGAGTTCGCTTCAGTAAGATGACTTCATGTCTCATTTAAATTGTTAAAGAATTGCTAAAAAGAGAATCTTAAAACCTTCAGCTGTCAGAAGGCAGGAAGGGAGGAAGGGAGCAAGCTTGGGATACACAGCAACTCTCTCAGCCGAAGGCTGCCCTTCCCTTCCCCCCATTTCAAGGGCACCCCAAATGGAAGCCTTTGTGAAGACCTTTTATTTGTCACAATCCCACCCTTGTACATATTATAAGACATATTATAAGATCCCAGAAGGCCTGGTAAGCAGCAAGAATGGAAACTCCCAGGGTCACCAACAAGGCAGGCTTGTTTGAAAGAACCCCATGGGCCTGTGTTCCAGTCTCAAAACACCCCAGGAGCTCTTGCCTACCATGAAGTTTTGATTATTCTCCTCTCTGCCCATGAACATGCGTGCCTTCTTCAGTGATCTGTGTTACTATTTTCCTGGAAATTCTAACAATTATGTCAACTTAGAACATATGTTTTTTTACCGTCCAAGGGTAAAGATTCGTCGTTGTGATTGTTGTTTCCATGTTAAAGGATTAGAGATTTAATTTTTTTTAATGTCAGGCATGGGGCTTGAACTCAGGGACAGGGCACTGTCCCTAAGGTTTTTTACTTGAGGCTGGCACTTAACCACTGAGTCACAGCTCCACTGTTGGCTTTTTGGTGGTTAATTGAAGTTACGAATTTCTCAGACTTTAATTCTCTGGGATAGCTTGGAATCTGGATCCTCAGATCTCAGGAGGCTGGGATTACAGGTATGAGCTATTGGGGCCCAGACTGGATATTTTTTCTTTTCTGCCCAGCTCACAACTTGGTTTCCAATCTGGTCCTCCCCACATCATCAACTAGAAGAACCTCAGATCTAGGCTTCTGTGGGAATCAGGACATTCCTGAACCAGGATAAACACATCCTAGAGTAGAGCATCTGCAAACTCCTAACCAGATCCAGAACAAACGCAAGGAGGTGGCGACTGAGGAAGGAAGGAAGGACTGTGGAGCTGGAAGCCACGGCCTTCTGCCCCTTCCCTGGCTGGAAATGTCAGAACCTCTCGTGACCGCCTGCTTTCTAGCCTCACTGGCATGCATTTACAGTCCAGTAACCATTTTGTAACAAGAGTTTTTAAATGTGTTAGAAATACTGAAGAAAAGCAAAAATAATTAGCTGCCCTATTAAAGTCTCCTCCCCCGCCTTACTTCATTAGAAAAATCAATTGAGGCATTAACGGCTGCCTCCATCTCTAATGAGCTTTATTCTAATTAGACTCGTGCATTATTATTATTTCCTCTGGAGAAAGTCTGGTTGGGGATGAACAGTGGGGTGTGGCAGCCTGGACTGTTTCTCAGGGCATACGCAGGACTGATCATTGTGTTAATAACAGCAGTGACAACGGTCACAGTCCATTGAGCTTTTCATTTCCAAGTGAGACTAAGTATTCACTAAACAGCTTCAACCCCCCATGAACTGTTTCTTATACCAGAGTCTCTGCTCCACCCAAAGAATAAGGAGGGTACTTTAGAAGCATTGAGGCACAGATTGCTCAAAGTTTAGCTGATTTTGCACTCAGATGACATGGATGATCCGCTTTCTCACAAGAGGAAGGAGCAGGAAATGGCACTGTAGAGCAGGGATGGGCAGACTTCCTCTGGGAAAGGTCAGAGGGTAAGTATATTAGGCTTTGAGATCCAGATCGTCTCCACTGTAACTCAACTCTGTACTTGTAAACATGGAAGCAGCATAGATAAAAGTGAACAAATGAAATTAAACTACTTGTGGAAGCTGAGATTTGAATTTCATATAAATGTGTATGTGTGTGTGTGTGTGTGTGCTGGTGCTGGAGCTTGAACTCAGGCCTGTGTGCTATCCTTGAGCCATTTTGCTGATACTCTACCACTTGAGCCACACCTCCACTTCTGTTTTTGTTTGTTTTTCTTTGCTCTGGTTCATTGGAAATAAGAGTGATAAACTTTCTTGCTCAGGCTGGCTTGATCTTCGCGTCTCAACCTCCTGAGTAGCTATGATTATAGGTATGAGCCACCAGGGCCCAGAAAATTTCATATAATTCATGCTGCCAAATCCTTAGTTCCCTTTCCCCCAGCTCTAGAAGCATATAAAAACTGTCCTTATTCCGGGTGGAGGTGGGGAGGAATGGTAGCTCTATTTCTTACAACAAACTATAGAAGGCAGAGAACATTGAGTGGGCTAACCAGCTAGGAGGGAGAGAGGTCCTGTGGGCAGCAAGGAGTGAGGTATCCTGGGTCCAGGGCTGGGGACAGCACCTTCACTTGGCTTCATTCTTCTTCCA